CAAACTTGTAAGTAAATAGCCAGGCAAGGCGTGTTAGTTTCCTTTGTTTTCTCAACTTGTAAATGTACCTTTTACTAGAGTGTTTATCTTTGTTTGCTGTACTTTCAACCTAAGACTAGAGGGGAGTCCTCTGAGCTCTTTAAGTTTGATTACCCTGTAAGGTTAATTTCCATACTGATTTTACAGAGATGATTTTTACCTTTTTCTTTAATTAAAAGCCTTCTTTTTAAGAACCTGATTAATTTCTCCTTGGTTTAAGATCCAAGGGGTTTGGATCTGTATTCACCAGGAGTTGGTGAAGGGAAGGAGGGGGAAAGGTTAATTTCTTCTTGTTTTAGATCCGAGGGGATTGGATCTGTGTTCACCAGGAGTTGGTGGGAGGAAGGAGGGGGGATGGTTAATTTCTCCTTGTTTTAAGATCCAACGGGTTTGGGTCTGTATTCACCAGGGAATTGGTGAAAGGTTTTCTCAGGGCTTCCCAGGGTGGGAATCTAGAATTGGGAAATGGTGGCAGCGGAACCAGAGCTAAGCTGGTAGTTAAGCTTAGAAGTTTTCATGCAGGCCCCTACATTTGTACCCTAAAGTTCAAAGTGGGGATCCAGCCTTGACACATGTGGTACCAAATAAAATGTCTTACAGAACACTAAGTCTCTTGTATCAACAATATTATCTTCATGACCCATACTGGTATTCTCATAAAAATATATATTAAGTTAGTTTGACAGGATTCTTTTCCATAAACCCATGCTGATTGGCGTTAATTCTGTTACCTGCCTTCAATTCTGTATTAATCCTGTCTATATCAAGACTTATTGAAAACCAACATTAATGGTCCAGCCAGCTTCTCATCCAACTCCTTTAAAATACACAACTTTCTCCAAAATGCTCTCAGTACTCAGTACTCTCAGATTACCTGGGTAATGAAACTTCCCCAAATTGTAGGGATCTATTGTAAACACCTCTAGATAGATTTTATTTTTCTATATAGTTTCTAAAATGTACATTATGCTGCCGCATCAAGTCCTAGCTTGATCTTGTCTATCTGCTATGGACTTCTAGGTATAAAGCAAACAGTATAGAAGAAACTGATAAAAGGTGAAATTACTTCACAAGTGAGTGAGAGTTTGTGGTTAGCTCTGCTAGCAACTGTTGATGTTACTCAATCTAACTCCTCTGTGAGCCACAGACGCAGCATCTGCAATTAGACATGTTTTAACAACTTAGCCCTAAGTTCTGCAAAGGATTCTTGATCATCCCTGGACATAGATGACACTATTAAAAATACTAATAACTTGGGACCAAACTCTATGTGTGTGTTTGTGTGTGTGTGTGTGTGTGTGTATTACTTGTGCACCTTGCTCATACAGTATTGATTAATATTCTTAGTGTATTTTTATTTATTTTTCCTATTTTTATGCATCC